AGGTCGGGAAACGGACATGGTATGCGCAAGGTTCGAGCAGGTCTCTTATATCGCCGTTGGCGTACATCACTCTCCGCTTCTTCCATCCTGGTAAAGGAGTGTTCGACTCGTAATCGACTTCCTCTGAATCCTTGACGAGATAATCAGATCCTCGTGGGGGGCGCGGTGGATGCTGAGGGCTTGGAATGTGCTTCCCGTCATGCCGCGGACGTACTGCCCTTGCAGGAGACGAAGAAGGGCTCTACCCGCGGGCGCCCTCGGAACTAGCGAAGCTTGGCGTTTTTCGTGTCATGGGCATAGGATCATTGAGCAGAGAATGCCTGGAGATAGTTCTAGGGACGTAAAGGTGTCTCAACACGCGGGCCTTGTGCGAGGCGATAGGTAAATGTAAATTGGTGGTATTCACAATTTTGATGGGTAGTATGATAGGGTGGCTCACACAAGACGGTGTGACCGCACAAAGGTGTGAACTACATAAGTTGGTATAATCACGCAATTGTGTGGCTACACCGTAACAAGAAGCCACTACGCGGCGAAACTGCCAGTAGTAATGCAAAACAATCAGGTTTTTCCATTTAATTAGGTTAAATCTAAGGTTTTAGATATAGGCAGCTCTGTTGCAAATAAAATAATTTAGTTTGAGCAAAATACGTTATCTACCTTGGTTAAAGTTTTGGGTACTCTTGGAGGTAGCGGGTTGTACTCATACTGGTTTTAGTACAGAACGTACGGTCGATGACCTTAGTATGCTTTCTCATACCAAAGAGCAACAGCAGCCCCGCTGCAGCTGGATCATTCAGTCTTTGCCATATCGGCGACAGACACAGATTCAGTCTTTGCCAAGTCGGCGACAGACACGATAATCGCGGAGGCTATAAAGTTCGTCGGTTGAAACGCTTCCAAAGGTAAAAAAAAACTGGAACGACTAGTAGGGTCGGAGCTCTCGACTTGGGCCCGAGAAGATTACTGTGGATGTTGTGGATGCACACCACGCTGGCCTCAACGCGCATGATACACATGCAGCTTCCACTCAGAGTGTTGGAAGTGTCAGGCAGTATGCGACTTTGATTTTCCAAGAAGGCTTTGTAGGTGGGCTCGAGATAACACTACGAGCTTTTATTAACACTGGTGCGTCGAAAAACTTTGATCGAGCGCAAGGTATGACTGGGCATGGTGTTAGCCTGCCCAATGTGAAAGAAGGAATGATCATTCGTTTTACGAATTGATCTAGGATGAAGATACCAAAGCAAGTCATTTGCTTTGCAATGAAGTTTGAGAGTTTCCGAGGTGAAGTCGAGTTTTTCTTATTCGGCCTCGATGATAAGTATAATATCATCCGAGGTATGCCATGATTGAAGCGTTATCAGCCTAGCATTGACTGAGTGAATATGGAGATTGTTATCAACAAGTCGTGCAGCGCTAACTCGAGCTGCATGACGACGAACGAAACAGTATGGGCATATGTATCTGTTGAAAAAGTCACAGCTGACTTAAGTGATATTGCGGTGTGCGATAGCCGCCCAAGTTCACAGGATAAGCCCAAGAAGACGAAGATAAAGAGGTGGAGCAGTCAGGCGTTAGATAACGACTGTCTCTATTGTTATCGACATGGAAGTCATGATCGATGTAGTATGAAGAATAGCGAGATCTGAGGCAATAACCCATCCCAAGTTAAGACTAAGAAGGCCACCAAGAAGAATTCGCCGTCAAGTATTTTGCGTGCCTCTGATCAAGGTACAGGTTGAATTGATTAAGAAAGCGCTCAAAAACAAGACACTTTAGATGTTGTGGCCTACAACGAAGGAGGTGACGTGATATTATCCGTCACTTGAAGATTGAAAATCCTCCAATTTCAGTCAAAGAATTGTTTTCCTTGCCATTGATGAGCAAGAAGACGCTGAAGTGTAGCCTTGCGAAAGGCGAAATTTCGCAAACTGTGCGATTGTCGAGGAAAGTATGGACGATGACATCAATACTGCGGAAGTATTTGATGAGAAGACACGGAAGGAAAATTTTGATGGGCAGTCGTGGGACGCTCCAAACTCAAACCCCGTGTATGGAATTGTCAAGGAATATGCCAATATATTTCCAGACAGGTGCCGGACAAATAGCCCAATGACAGAGGCATTCGTCATGAAATCGGCATACTTCCTGGTCGAAGTATTGTATCACACGGCAGTGGCCGTTGCTAAAAGAGCAAATCATTGCAGTTCACCAGATTTTCGCGCAGCGACAGATGGCTGATCATGTGCGTGAGATTAAGTCTACGTATTGTAGTCCAACCTTATGTGTGAACAAAGCCACAGGTGATTGGCGCATTGTTCACGCGTTTGACAAATTGACCGATGCGACCATACCTGCCCAAACTCCGGTTCCACGAAAGGATATGACCCTCGATGGAATAATTAGAAGTACTATTTCAGCGCGATCGATCTGAAAGATTGTTTCTATCACATACGATGGTGCAAAATGATACACCACTTACTGCAGTAAAAAAATCAGTGGTGTGCTGTGCGAACTATTAGTGATGCCAAAATATTTGTAGAACGCTCCCGCAATTTTCAACAGAATTATAACGTTACTTTATTTTTTATTAATATGTTCGCTCCGATTAACTTTGGCGAAATAATTATTCATGGTGAGAAAACGGGTGAGAAGTCTGATATCGATGTTGATCTTGATAATCTTCGTCAGGCCTTCCGAGATATGCGAGAATAAACTCTACGCTAATCTTAAAAGTGCATTTCCTTTGCACCAGAGTTCCCTGTTCTCGGGCGCTTTGTTGGCAGGAATGGCGTTCGTGTAGATCCAGTAACAGTCAGAGCTATCAATGATTGGTCCGTGCCGATCAATGCAAAGCATCTGAAACAATGGTCGGGCTTGGCCAACTATTTGCACAAATACACGCGCAACTATGCAGCATTGGTGCAACCCCTAATGACTCTTTTAAAGAAGAACGTCGGGCTGGAATGGTCAAAAGATTACCAACAAATTCGCCAAAGTAAGGAAGAACTTGAAAGAAGCACCTGTTCTTTCAATTGCAAGCCACGATAAGCCTATTAACGTGGTCTGCGATGCAAGTGATTATGCCATCGATTATGCGTTGATGTAACACGATGATGAGGGTCGAGATTGAGTTGTTTCGTATCGGTCGCGACAAATCCGACCCACAAAACGAAATTATCCTGTTCATAGAAAGAGCTTCTAGCAATGAGTATGCTTTGGTTAAGTTCCGTGTGTACTTGCTTGGAGAGAAGCGCTTTCCATCTATACAGATCATGCCGCACCCCGTACGGCAGTAAAGGCTTCTCATTTATCGCAAAGAATAGCTCAATGGTATTCCTTCTTTGCGGAGTGCAACTTTGTTGCACACTACAAGCCACGCAAGACGAACATATTAGCCGACGCGTTGTCAAGACGTCCGGACTATGATCCAATGTCCAGTATGCGACAATTTGCACGAGTCATGTCGACATTGTGGAGATGTTCAAACGATCACAGTTGTGCTGCTACCCTTCAGCGGTTGACAACTACGAATAAATAAGTCCTATTGACATCACACCCGCGAGTTAGCGGTCGAGCTCATCTATACGGGTTATTGCACCACTAAGTACATTAAGGATATGACTCTCGGGTTGTCGTACCCGACAACGAAGACTTGAAGCGCAAATTGGTGTATGGAATGCACGATATGCCTATTACAGCTCATTCGTTCGAGAAAAGACTTATGCAGTGTTTCACACTACGTTTGGTGGCCAAAAATGTATGCTTGGGTTGAGAAGGCCTTTGTAGGTTTGACATTCGTCAGCGTGTGAAGCCATATCCATTGCAAAGCCTGCCAGTACCAACAGATTACTGGCGTTCCGTCAGTAACCCAAAGAAAAGTTCGAGCTTGAACTTTTTCTTTGGGTCAATGTTTTGGTATCTTTAGACCGTTTAAACAAGATGATGTACCTCGCACCAACGGCAGATTTCGTCACTGGGGAACAGAGCGCTCAACCATTTATTGATCATGTCATTTGACATAATGGAAAAGCAATCCTGATACGCGCTTTACAGCGGACTTTTGGACGAGCTTATTCCTTCTATCAGGCACTTGCCCAGAGATGGCCACCAAGGACCATCCAGAGACGAATCCGCCCGAATCGCGTTGAAAAGACAATCTACGCAGTTTTGCAGTATTTGTGCATCGGCGCCGACGACATGGAGTGATATATTCCCAATGGTCGAATTTGCCATCGACAATACAGTCCATGCATCAACAGGCTTTACTTACATTAAATGACCTTCGCCATCCAGCATTGCCTCTTCGTTTAATGGGAGGCACGCCAGATTCTGGTGAGGGAGGGGCTCGGAAATTAATTGCCTTCCAATTCACTACGATTGATAAGCGTCAGATTCGTCAAAGTATTGGCAAGTTTGTGAACGAAGGAGCAAATGTAGAATCACGCGTACGTGATGCTATGACGGAAACGCACGGTTTACAGCGATCTAATGCTTACACGCATGGACGTGGAAACACGCATACATCCAAAAAGGTAATTATGTAGTTATCATTACCAAGAATACTGCGGACGCCATCGTTTCATGTCTAGGATCTTCTAAACTCTCTTCCCTTACCAAGCTGGGTCCGTATCGATCCGACGTTTTATGTCGGCTTGCTCAAGCCATACCTCAGCAATTCCTCTCATCGTACGAATTGTCAAACGAGGAACGCGTCGTTGAGACCCAAGAGTCGAATCACTCTGTGCCACAGTACTCTGAATCTGATGAACTTTTTCACGAAGACATTGATTCTCCGCTTGGAGCCGAGCGGCTTCGATTCACAGAGCAGACGTTGCAGCGCGATCGTACATGTCCACATGACGAACCTCAGCCCACAATGATTCCATTGCCTTCGACATTTGATAACTTATCTTCGCGATAGCGCTCGCATTTGCATCCAGGGATGCGATGACCTCGTCCAGACCCATTCATGCGTCCCTCATCTGCAATTGTAGTACCGATGAAAACACTATCGACAACACCGCTGTCTATTGTTCGACCACCGAGGATTCAGTTGCCGGTGGTATTTCGAGACGGGGTTGCCCACTTCCATGTGGAAAGTTTTGTCGGCGCGCCGTGGTGAGCTACAGCTCCTTGTGAAATGGCTCGGCTATCCGGATTCGAATAGCTGGTGAGAGCCACATTCGCAACACTTTGCTAATTGCCGTATCTCAGTACGTATGTGGGAGGTTGCGAGCCCCCACTGGCTCCACTAGGAGCCGAACGAAAGAAGAACCTTGTCCCGTCGCTTGAAGTCCAACTATGGGAGTCGACGACAACGAATGCAGTGACTATGTACCCCACCATGTCTCTGCGACATGCAACAATATCTGCTACGACCTAACATTCGAAAACGAGTTTCGCGTATCAAAAACGAATGTCGCGCACCTTGGCGATCGCCAGATAACGACAAAAGATTTGTCCGTCGATTTTGCGAGAGTTCTCGGTCGCGATCGACTTGATGGCGTGTACCCACTCCCAGAATTCTCTGTTGACGTCCTTGGGCGACTTCGCTGGGCGTGGGTGCACCCCAAATACTCCACGTATATTACGCGATGACGCAGCAGCCATCTCTTCCAGTGCTGGATAGTAAAAATAAACGGCCCGACCCCCTTTTTTAGAGATCAAATACCGTTTTGGATGAAATTGCCTGATCGTGTCAGGGGGGTTTTCTCAGGTACTTCGGGTCTGATCTTTATACCAGCGCTAGCCTTTGGGAGGTATGGAATGTGCCACACGTCGTCATTCGACAGTGATTGCGAAGCATATTTCCCGCATAAAGCACGGCCTGCTGGCGTCGTCGCCGTTGGTACACTCGTTGGAGGTGCCGGGGCAATCACTGACTCTTGGGAGTCTTCTGCTTCGGTAACGCGATGTGGAGGTAGCTTTCCCTCTTCATTGTCGTCCGCCGACATGTAGTCGTCGCTCTTCTCAATATATTGATTTGTGGCGTTTTTTTCAGCTCTCTAACTTGTGGAGAAGACCAAACAGAGCTGTTACCGTCGGCATCGCTGTCCGACTTTGAAGGTGCCTTCGTTTCCCGTTGCATTGGTTGCGCTGGCGATTTTTCACTTGACGCTGACGTCGTCGCTTGACAATTTTTTTTAACCTGGCAGTTTGGCGTCTTCACATCTCTGCCCCGGGCGTGTCGCCAGGCTTGGGAGGAGCCGCCCTGATAACTTTCCAAACAGATGCATTTCGCGTCGGCGTCTTTCGTATTGTCATGTTCGAAATCTCTCTCTCCGCTCTTGGCACAACTTCTTCTTTCAGGTACCCCTACTTTTCGGAACAAGTCAAGTTTCATTCTGGTTAGGGTGTGTAATGGGGTGATAGGCCCATTACATAGTTTGTGTGGTACAATCTTAGCTGCTGATTAGCTTAGTGTGCATTACTCTAATTACTAGGTGGTTAAAATTAGGTACATTCATTCCTATTTTTAGGTTAAGCTTAGGATCAGGATAAATCACCAATCATATATTCGGTCTTCATTTTGATCAAGATCAACACTAGTTTATGGTTAAAGGGGTGCGTACGACAGCTACACAAGAATACCAAGCCTCAAGGTAAACCTGTACAGCGCAAGAGTGCGTGTAACCAGCTGTCCCGTTACAAGAGATGGTCTGACGCCGTTACGTCAAAAGCATTTTAGCTGATGAATACAGTCCGCCAGTTGTTGCCTACCCAGACGGAAAGACATGACCGCGGAGCGCTTTGCCTGGTTAGGCAACGCGAACACCCGCGACATCTGTTGCTTTTGATTTCCGACGCTAGAAATGAGTTGTTTGTCGAGGTTGCGCACTTTATTGCCCATTCTCGCGCGGAGGGAAGTAGAACGACTTAATACCTTAAAGTTAAATTTGCAACTGATATAACCGTGAGTTATGGCTCCTTGTTAAATGGAAAACACCCCCAAGGACTCTTATACATTTTAATAATACAATCCTGGGTTACTGACTTGTAAATCAAGGGTGTACTGAGGTTGAACCTCAAATTTATTTGATAGAAGATCTTGGGTGTACGGAGCTTGACCTTCAAGAGCATGAACCTCAACTATCGAGGAAGGTAGTTTGTAGAAGGGACTGGCTTACGCCACCCACTTCTAAAGACAAAGACACTTCGGTCTCGTCACCAGTACAGATCTTCAAGTAGAAATCAGCATTCGTTATCACACATAATGTTTGTGAGTTCGTAAAGTAATCACGCATGTTTTGAAACCGCCATACTGTAATTTCCCTTTCAAACTCCCAATATATACAGAAGGTTCAGAAATGTACCTTCATGTAATGGCTAAGTGTAACCCATTACACATATAGCTGAGCTTTCCTTTTACTTATATCAGCAATACAGTTTTACGCCACTCCAGACAGCAAATTCAAGGTATGACTTATAAACCAGCCGCTTATAACTTAACTATCCACGCTCAAATATCCTCTCTTACCAAACTATCTTTAAATGCCGACATGCGGCTAGCAGCCCACCGACACGGTCTCTGTTTTTTTGCTCATCATTTTCATTAATACTGACATCACTTCCTAGGATATGTATGTATGCAATAGCGCAGTGTGAATCTGGTACATTTGTACAGTAACGTTTTAAACAATTGTTCAGCGAGGCTGCCGTAGCTCTTTACTTTGAGGAAACTTACACAAGGTTACCGACCTTCGTTCTATAATAGAACCGGTACGAGCGTAGCGGATCGCAATCCGCTACCTCTAAGAGTACTTAAAATTTTAACTCACGGCAAATATAATCTTCCGTTTAAAAAATAAAAAAAATCTGTATTCATTTGCTTTATTTGCGGCAGAGCCGCCTATATCTAAAACCTTAGGTTTTCATGATTATATAGTAAAATTTAATGAATACGCATACTACAGGCAGTCCCGCCACGTAGTGGCTTCTTGTTACGATGTAGCCACACCATTGTGTGATTAAACCGTCTTGAGTAATCCACACCTTTGTACGGTCACACCATTTTGTGTGACCCACCCGTGTATACCAGGGTACGTGTAACCCGTTACAGAAGTGAGTTCATATGTTGCAGTACTTACTCCTTGATACCACATGTGTACCGAAGTTCTCTTTATGAAGTCACATTGTCGACACTTGTACAAATAGTTTGGTCCGTCTGATCTTGCACCATGACGCATATGTGTAATGTTTACGTATGTAATATTATCACTCGTATCTTGATTTGCCCTCTCCATCTAAGAATCCTTCAAGGCTCGACCTTTTTTTGTCTTGGTAAGAAACTGCGCAGAAGTGTTCCTCGAGCCACCACTGCACTTGCAGTCGTGTCTGCTCTAGGAAGCATACCAATACAGGTCATCTGCTATTGTGCACTCAAACAAATAGCTTATCGGGCCGCCAAACGTTGCTCCAACCTCATGACCAAAGCATTTAAAGCAAATTTCTATGAGGAAGCTTGCTTAATCCAAACAGCTCTCGACATTGCTTATAACATCTGTAGCCATCGCATTGACATATCTACAGAGTCAACGCGCTCCTTTCGTGTCGTCGCTCTTATTTTTCGGATCGTAGTCTTGTTGCTCATACAGCGCATCGGCAAAATTGTTGGATCTACCGAGCTTGTAGTGTATAAAAAAGTTACAGTCTGCAGAGAAGAAAACCTATCCTAAAACACCTAGTCGTTACGACTGACCCTCTGGAAGATGGAGCATTTTCTTATTTGCCCGAGGACATGCAGGACGGGCTTAAAAAGCTGATGTCTCTGCTTGGCCCTGAAGGCATGCAACACCTCGTTGAAAATGATCTTTTAGAGCACCAACTTCAGCGGGACTGACGTAGCTTTGCGCTTTGAGGAAACGTAATTTTGGTCACCGACCTTTCGTTCTATACTTAAAACAAGCACGAGTTTAGCGGATCGCAATCCGCTTACTCCAAGTAATTATTGCCTTGACCCATTGCTAATTAACTCTTCTGTTTCAATCCAAAACTGACTTTATTTACTTTTTTATCTGCGGCAAAGCCGCTTAGTTCTAAACGTATAGATTTTCCCAAATATATAGTAAAATCTAAATTCATGCATAACCACTGGCTACCCAGCCACGTACCGTATTCATAATTGGATGCAGTCACACCATGCCCATCTCGTGAGACACACATCCCTGTTACCAGGGAGCGTGTAACCCCGTTACACAATCCCCCATTGAGATTGAGAACATTTGCAGTTCCAATCGATCATTGCTTCAACGAGGCTTGCGTGTCCGCTACACACTGCAAATTGGTTCGTTGGAACAAAACGATTTCCATGATCAATGAGCTCTGTGTCAGCGACACTGAAGTCACCAAGACTCGCTGGTTCTGACAGCGAGCACGGGCAGGCCAAACTTCGTGTCCCGCATTCGGTGCTTATCATAGGCTCGATTAGCACGGGCGTCGCGCTCCGCGCATGCTATGAGTGACGAGTGACCTCGTTGAGGATGTGGAGACAGTCGACTACGAGTCTGACACTCCTATTTCCGCGTGGGATGACGAGGAAGGCGAGCTGCGCCAGCGGTGTGAGATGAACCCTGCTCGCGCCTTGCGGAGCCCATGTCCATTTCCTGAATTCTTGTCACCTGAGGGACGTGGTGTAATCACCAATGACCTCGACGGGGCACGGAGGCGGCAGCTAAAAGCTGCCCGTAAGGCGGCTCTGATGCGCACCCATCCGCGGCCGGTCATTGACCCCTCCTGTGGAATATGGCTCTCGTGTACCCGCAATGCAGATAATACCACTAGTACTCGCCCCAGGCGAAAGCGCTACATATGCCGAAGCGCTCTTTGAGCGATGGGTGCAACAGCACCGAAAACTTACTTCACTGTATAGCTTACAGTTGAGCCTCAAGGAAGTGGACGTGCGTGTGGAGCGACACCTCTGATTTGAGTTTGCCAAACTCAAGGCACGCCGTCGACTTCCTTCGGATTGTCGCCCTGAGACGTATGGGTCAACCCCTAACGCTCCTGTGAGCTGAGTCTGCGACTGCAAGAGCTAAGGGCCGCTGCTTGAGCTCAGCACATGGCCCTTTTCGTTCACTGGCTATTACCGGGAAGCGCGGAGCGTCCTGGTCTTTCTGATCAAAAGCGTCCACGGCGTCCAGGCAATCTTGCCGAAGTGGCGTCTCAAACTCCGACGAGTTTTTGGAGTCGGGATATCCCCGCTATTTATCCAGATATTGAGTTTGACCCTGGTGACGACGTCGTCTCACTAGACGTTCCACGTGATA